TTTTAATATTTAAACTTAAAATTTATTATATAAAAATTGACCAAAAATAAAGCTTCTTGGATATAAATACATGATAAAATTGAAGAAAGTGAGCGAAGGGGTTGCCATCTCAAGATGAGGGGTCGAGCCCTTCAAATTAAGTCCTCATCGGACTTTTGGACCAAAAAGCAATTTTTATCAATGATACAATAACAGTGCTGATCCCTTTACCTTCAGTTTTTGTGCACTTTGATCCTCATACTTTAGAGTTTTTGAATTAAATCCTTGACTTCAACTTTCTCTCTTGCAAAAAGTTTCTCTCTTGCAAAAACTTTTGAAAAGTTTGTGATTTGCTTCTCAAATTTCTAATTTCTTTAATTCAAGTCCTTTTCTGCATAGACAATGGAAATCATATAAAATTCAATAAAATCACATTTAATCAATCCAAATATCAATAATATTAAAACAAAATTAGCTTTATATTATGCATGAGAATTTAATCTATCAACAGACTTGTAACACAAGTGGTCAGTCTCATCTTAAATTAGACTAGTGTTTGTTTGAATTGGTCTAATCTAAGTGGATTTTTTTTAATATAAAATTAAATATACATTTTCAAATATATGAACTTAGAATTCAAATATTTCACCGTTCTTCACACATAATTTGCTTGGTAAAGCAATCTTCACCCTTTCCTTCCCAACATTTTTTTATGAGAAATATAATTTCATTGATATATAAAAATTATAAGGGTTATAGGAACAACTTGAATAAGAGGATATATTAGAAGTATTACCCTCATAAAATATATAAAAATGCAAAATCAAATAATCTAATTCCTCTACATAAATATTGAAGCCAAATTCAAGTTCAAGATTTAGCAGTTAAATCGCATTTTAGCTTAATCTATTTAGACGATGGATAAATTGGTTCTAGGGTAGAAAATTTTGGCTAGGGACCTCATCCTCAACCATACCTATAGCAACAAAAACAAGCACAAAAACTAATATCTAAGTCCAATAATATTGCATACAAGTTGCTATCCTCTTATGACAAAAGTAAATCTTGATAAAAAAAGGTATTGAAAAAGTTGAGATAGAAACCCTCACAAAAGAGGGAGAAATCTCCATATAAAAGGGAAAAAAAAACCCACAAGAGAAGAGATAACTCTTACTTTTAGTCATCCATCCTAACTGTTGAAAGGAAGAGAGGTAATAGCAGCTAGGGAAAAGAAGGAAATAAGAGAAAGAGGAGAAAATCTAGGTGAGAGAAGGGGGGCAGCTAGGGTCGGTTACTTTTTCCTTCCTGAAAATTTCTCTTTTTTGATATTTGGCTCCCCGAAGAACCATTCTTCCTTCCTTAATTTCATTATAGACATAAGAAAAAAAAAATTACTATTTTTATGTAAGAAATTTTATCCTAGGTTTCGTTCTCTCTATCTTCAATTACAAAAATTGAAAACCAAATTCCCTATATATCCGGGCCAAATATCAATATAGTACTTGCTTTGCACAAAGTAAGAAAATAGGGATTTCTTCAATTGATAGCGCTCTCTTTTCAAATAGTTGACTATTGTGAAGGGTGGCTGAAATAACATTGTTGAATGGTGCAAGTGTACCTCAGACAACATTGAAAGGAAGGATACATTTTTGTAAAATGAATTCTATAACCAGCCTTAGACACACTCCAAGTATATCCAAACTCCAAAGGCTATCAACTATCAAGTTAAGAAAATAGAGCGTATATAAATGTAAGCCACCAAAGTAAATAAAAATGTAAATATTCAATTAAAGTAAGCTGGCAGAACTAGATCTGTTCGCAGTGGCAGCCCAAAATTATAAATCTACTTTACTGGCAGAACACTTAATTAAGCACTGGCCACCTACTGGTAAAGCTACTACTTTATTTTTATGTTTTTGTGATAGTAAAGAATTATATTTCAATAAAAATTTATTTACAATTATTAAAAGAGATAAACGGAGCATAAATGACTGCTTTCATTGCCACCTTCACTAATATAGAAGGGGCTAACTTAAAAAATACAAATGGAAACTCAAACAACTACAGTGCAAAACCTTGAGGTTTTTTTCGTTTTATTTTAACAAAGAGGTCCTAATAACCTCTAGCTAGCTTCTTCTTTTCCTTTTTTTATTTTTTTATTTTTTATGCTTGCGGATTAATATCCAACTGATTGAGATATGGAAAAATAAAAAAAACGATCGAACTGATTGCGTTGCCTAATTCATAAAGCAAATGATTTGGGAGTGAGAGTTTGCGCGTTCAAATTCCATTGATGATACTCAATCTTGTGTTCCGTATTTTTAAATAAAAAATTAATATTAAGTTTGAACTGTCCTTCCTGGGTATGGGAAGATAAAGATCCAGTCTGTAATGATTGAGATGGAATACTGTATTTGCAGTTTTGTAGCATGTCCTGTTGGAAAGAAGAAAATATATAGGCTCTAAATGAATCAAGACAGAAATGGGAGTCATGAATGGCTTCAAGTTGAACCAACCAAATAATGATGCCAAGTAAAAGACAAAAATGAAAAATATGATGCAGTCAGTGGAGTTTTCTATGAAGAATTGAAACCTATTGTGGGGGCTAAAGCAACCAGAATGCGTTGTTCAGAGGATGCCCAACATCCCATATTCTAAAGTCATGGCCGCTCGGTGTTCCGAATTATGAGTTTATCTGCATCCCCCTCTCTTCCTCCATTGCTTTGTCTTTTTCGAACACAACAAACATCAACTCTTTGTTAAATTTTTTTTTATATCAAATAATGAGTTGCATGATAAAAAATATAATTCTTTGGTTTTTAAATTTTTTTTTATTTATTTTAATATTTAAACTTAAAATTTATTATATAAAAATTTAAAATTTTAATCATTAAATTATTCTTTAGATGATAACCTTATTCATTCTTTACACCAAATTAATCATGTAGTATTGTACCTGATTCTTTGGGTCACCTTAAAGATATGATCCTTCTCCTGATAAGTTTAAAATTCAAATCCCATCCTTGTCACTTTAGTAAAATAAAATAAAAAAATTAATCACGTAGTATTGGTTTTTTGCACATTCAACTTCCTATGCAGTTATTCATCCTCATCATTACCAAAAAGTTTCACATTTTAAAATATTTTATTCATTTAATTCATTCCAAATTAGTAATGGTCTAAATTTTTTGAATATTTTATTTTATACTGATTATTTTCAAAGATAATGTTTTGGAAAAAAAATATTTCCGGACCAACAAATGGGGGTTCCGAAAATTTTTTGTTTCAAACTAAGTTTTTCCTATTCAATGTTCTGCAACATTCTGCATCTTTCAAAATGTTTTCTTTTCCTTATAACATGTTTTAATTTTTTTGGACTAATTTTTCAGCCTGGAATAGAGCTTTTTCCGGTAGTGTGATCTAATAATTTAGTGCAGAAGAGACTATCAAACTTCAGTCTTCCAGTCAGCCAATATACATGTGTTCTCCGTTATGGCCGTGACTGTTCGATATGACAAATTGACAATTGGGCCTACATACCAAAACGACGCAATTTTTCCAATCTTATTTGTCTCATCATAAATGTCATGTCGATAAGATGTTGTTGTGTCGAAGCCTTAAATGAAGAACCCACATGCAGATGTCTCTAACAACTCCAATGTTAACTATAGCTATAAATGCAAAAAAAATCTTGAATCTTCCTTCAATTTCAGTTCGATGAGCCAGTAAACCTGTAAAACGTTGAGGATAGATGTCAGAATAGATATTTTGACACCTAAATAAGTAATATTTTACTTTAATTTAATGAAAATAAAATGAAGATTTCATGTTGGTTTAAATACCCATAGCAGAAGATCCTTACAAATATTTATAAACTTTAAAAAAGTAATTACGTGATCTTTAAGATAAAATAATTGAGATATAATGTAATTGATAAGGTGAACATCTCGAAAAAAAAAATTCAACTACATATGGTTTTATTGTAATTATTGCACAATAAAAAAAAAGATGATTTTAACTTCTGTTATTGAGTCATTTGACCTCAGTTATATCTGGTTTAAGACAATAACCAGCTTTGGTGACTCGTTTTAGGGTATCATGTTAATGATTTCGAACCTATACTTACAATAGCTTTAATTCTTTACTTGTAGAGTTGTGGAGCTCTCGTCCTTGATTAAAAAAAAAAAAACCTTGAAGGCAAAATCTTATAATAAAATGAGATTTATGTTTTATGAGTTAAATTATATATTAAAAATATAATTCGTTTTTATGAAATTAAATAACACAAAAAATATTATTTTTTTAAATATTTTAATAAATTTATAGGGTAAATTATATTTTTAATGTACATTCTACTTCATGAAAATATTTTTTCGTAATAAAATTGAGTTAGTCATGGGTTATTCCAAAAGAAGCTGAAGAATTCTATGGATAAGCAGGTAATGTTCTTAAAATTTGTTACACATGATTTCTTGATGTGCGAATTGCAAAAGACAACTTTCTGACCAGTTCGATCAGCCGGGCCGGGTTAGGTCGGACCGGGTTTAAAAACACTGTTTCTGGGACCCATAGAAGTGCGCTGCGTGCGGGTCAGCACTTGGAAGGAACATGGACACATGCTCACACATGGCCTTTGCACATGAAGTTCTCTCCTTTCTCCTTCATACCCGACCAAACAGTACACTTTGGGGCCAGAACTCCATTGACGTCTACCGCAACTAATTAATATAGAAATGTTTCTTATTATAATTTTCTTTTAATCCAATCATTAAAATCACTGCCATTCTTATATCGTCTCATTACTTTAATATATATACTACTGAACTGCTCGTGTATTTTAGATAATGCATGTCATTAACTTACCAATTATATACACCCTTTTTTTTTGGCCGGCCCACTACTTATACACACTTTGAACTTCATTTTTTTAACATAAAAGACCAGCTCAGAGAAAATTATTGATTTTGGATCCTTACTATATGATTACTGGCAGTTTGGTTAAATGGAATCCAATGAAAAATTTGCCAAAACTTCCAGCTAGATAGTAATCATGATGCAAGTTCCTTATTTCATTTCATTTTTTTTTCCTTTCTTGTGTAAATATTAATATAAGATAAAGATAAGTCATTCACATAAAAATTTTTATTTTTATTATAACTCAGTGTAATATATATATTTTTTGTATATGAGAAAAATATATTCATAGTTTATTTTAAACTCCTAATATTAACCTTTTGAAATGGATAAGGTTTTGCAATTAGTACATACATTTGTTCAATTTTTCTTTTTTTATCAACCAAAAAAAAATTTTAATTTAATTGAGGGTACATACAAGTGGTACTCCAATGCTTTACAATAAGATTACTGCAGCACATATATCTATTTATACTCTTCTTGGCACATGCATGCAGCGGCCGCTTATGCTCAAACACATGCTGTGAACATTTTGCCTACAATATTGTGGAATCAAAATTACACACCATAGTTTTATTACATAATAAAAAATTCAAAACTTGAACAAGAAATTTAATATACATATATATGTGCATCATACCATGACATGCATCTTTATGTTCGGTGAAAACAAAATAATATGTACAACTCTATTATAAAGAGAATAATATAATCATCTTACTCATAAAACTTTTGAAACTCCTAGAAAATTATAAGAGTGGGGTCTAGGGACACATCCCAGAGACCAAGTACCAGAACGCATGTGATAATGGGAAGAAACCGGGAGTCCAATTGGCTATAAGTAGGGTGCATGTATTGGTGTTCCCCAAGCTCTGGCCGATTTCTTGCTTATCCTTTTTCTTTCTGAATATATCTTATCCTGAAAATTTCCTGCAGCTCCTCACAAGACTTAAACTAGAATGGTGTCCAAAGTGGATCAAGAAGCCATGAAGAAGAGGCAACAGCAAGCACAGGGTCAACAGCAGCAGCAGATGCAGAAGCAGATACAATGCAACAAAGGAAAAACTTGCAAGTTCAAGAGAAGCAGCTCCAATCTTGAAGACGATGGTGCTTCCTCTGCTATTCTCTTGCTTGCTTGCATTGCCTGCACTCCTTACTATTGACATCAACATAGATGCAAGATACATAGATAAATGCTTCTATTTAATTAGCTTCTTCTGTGTCTCCCTCTTAATTTTCCATGTGCCCTTAGACGTTCTAGCTAGTCTCAATAATAAATTATCCACTTACTTTAGTGTTTGTATGAATAATTAGATTTCAATAATTAATATTGGGTATCAAATACTTAATTTTAATTTAATTAGATGAATTTTATACATTTTAGTTACTATTTTAGTCTTGATTTTATTACTATCTAGTTGAGTTGAATACTTGAATACGATTTTATTGAATTTACATTATTTTTATTATTTGTGAAAAAAGAACTAAAATGCATGAAATTAGAAATTTTGAGACTAAGTGCAACTCTTTAAAAAGTTTAGGGCATAAATTGCAACAAAAAAGTTAAAATTATGGACCAACTTAAATAACTATGAAGTTTGAGATCAAAGTGCATAGAAACTGAAAGTTAAGGGACCAATGATGTCATTTTACCATTAAGGTTTTGACGGATGGATGGACACCCAATGAAAACTGTGTTGAGGAACGGAACCAACACTACTAAAATCCTCACTTTCAGCAACGTGGAAGTATGTTGCTGGAAGTGCCTTCCATGTTGCTAAAAGTCCTTCAGTAACATGGGTTTGGTTGCTAAAAGTTTTGTTGGAGAAGGCTTGGTGGGTAATACATTACCAACCAAAATCATGTTGCTAATATATCAGCAACATAAGCTATGTTGCTGAAAAAAAAGTATCAGCAACATAACTTATGTTGTTGAAAACTTTCACTAGAATTCGGTGACTGGTGGGAGTGAAATTTCTCACCCCCTTCAGTAACATAGGCCACGTTGCTAAAGATGGAGTTTCAGCAACGTGGCTCATGTTGCTAAAAATTTGGAGAAATCTTGTCGGAATTTGTCATCAGAATTTTATCA